AACGTTAGGAAACAAAACTTCCAGAACACGGCCACACAGCTCGGAAGACCCACACCAGCCATCGTATGCCGGCCGTGAAAGCCTTCGACCATACACTGCTTTGTGTATTTGAATGTAAACTTTGGGCTGTAAAATAGACAGACAGACAGACAGACAGAAATGTCAGATTCCCATTTATTATTTTGGTTAATGAAAAGACGATAAAAGAACATATGGGCATCAAGAGAGGTGTATTTGAGCAGAGGGTTAATCATAGGTACAGTATTTCCTGCTCTGAAATGGACAATGAAATAATGTTATGCTTTTATTATATATTGGCCTATGTGTGGAGAGTCTCTCTGGATACAAAATTTTTATTTGTGATGTAACAGCAGTGTACAAATTGAATGAGGCCTAGTGAAAAAAACAAAATCATTACAGTAAGTTAGTCACATCTAGAATGGCCCTTAGAAAAAAGTTCCTGACTTCTCTTGGATCTTTTCATGGCAACATCTATGAAGCAACATTTATAAACTGAGGCTTTGAATAAAAAGAAGTATGGATATAAATTTGAAAGTTTCAACAATTTAGACCATGTCCTAAAATACAAGCAGAGAGTTTTCACCCCTATCCTTAATGGTGATGTGTCTCCTGGTTTTACATCAACTGCTATTTCAAAAGATTGGTATTTGGCCTTCACAAGAGGTTTATGTCCCCACTTCAAACTTCATGTTCAAGATTATGAAAAGAGTGTCTTTGACAACTGCCTGGCACAAACCCGATAATTGTCTTTGATCTTCTGAACTCAAAATGCTGAGAACAATGAGCAAAGAATCCTTTTTATTAATCACTGCATAATTCTGAGTTGCTGCATGTTCTGGAGAAATAAAATTCTCTCATTTCCATTCCATACAAAATAATTTAAAGCAACACACTTGCCCTTCTCCCCATCGTTATTTTACCTTCTGTGGATTTATCTGGTCATATGTAAAAAAGAAAACCTAAGCAGTTCCTATGAGGAGAAGGTAAAAAGCCATCAAGCCACCTTTCTCCTTGAAAGACCTACTAACATAGCAGGAGTCAGGAATCACAGGAAGGCAAAATTCCTGGAAATAAAAAACAGACCATTTACAAGTGTCATAGAGCTAATGTATTGCAACAAAAACCCTAGTTGTACCTGGAGGCTATTCTCAGACCTAGTGGCTGTGGCTGTTTTAGGCCCCTGAATCTTGGAATTTTTCACCTTTCGCTTTAGATGGGGTGGCATGTCCCCATTTGAGACTGACAACTTAGGGGTTCTCCTGGACTCACAGCTACTGCTTGAAAATCAGGTGGCAGCTGTGGCCAGGAGGGCCTTTGCACAGGTTCATCTTGTGCATCAGTTGTGCCCATTCCTGAAACAGGAGACCCTCCAGATGGTCCCTCATGCCCTAGTTACCTCATGACTAGACTACTGCAATGGGGCTGCCCTTGAAGACCATCTGAAAGCTACAGCTGGTTCAAAATGCAGCGTCAAGGACAGTAATGGGTATACCTCAATGCATTCATGTATCATCCCTGCTTTGCAAGTTGTATTGGTTGCCAATTGGCTTCTGGGTGCACCCTTGTCACCTATAAAGCTCTTCATGGTATAGGTCCTGGTTATCTGAGGGACTGCTTGTCTCCAGTGGCTCTCACCCATCCAGTAAAATTGGGCAAAGTGGGGGTGCTCTGGGTCCCCACCATTAAACAGTGTCATCTAGTGACATCCTGGAAGCGTGTCTTCTCTGTTGCAGCATCTGCTCTCTGGAACAACAGTCCCACCACCCCCTGAGAGTCACAAGGCTCCCACCTTGCAAAGGATCTGTAACTTTTTAAAACCTAGCTTTGCTCTCAGGCCTGGGGTTAGGCTGTTTGTGAGTCCCTGGCAGGTTTTATGCAGTATTTTAGGTACTGCATGATTTTTATCTGGGTATATATGTTTTTCCCCACTTCTTAAATTGTTTTTCTCTTCTCTTTTAATTATGTAAGATGACCAGAGTAATTCTCTGGTGGCCTTCAAATCAAATCAATAAATAGTTTGCTGCCATTTCAAATCCAGTGCAGCACAGCCAGAACTATATTAACTCAGCTCTCAAACATAGTTGATGTCCTAATATCAAGAGATTTGGAGCTGCTTTCGAACTGGCACAAAGACCTCATGTAGAAGTGCCCTAGTTCTATCTCTTCTATGATGCTTAAGAAAAACTCTTGGCCTCTTCAAGAGCTGTGCCAAAGGCAGAAAGCTGCCAGCAGTGTTTTTCCCATCAATCAATTTCTATGTCAGGAAAAATGGCAATCTTCCCAAGGCCTGATCATATATTTAAACCAAGACGTCAGCATCCTTGTCCATCATAACAGCTTTCAAACAAATACCAAAATTTGGGCTTTTAAAATACATTGTTGAAGGATGGCTCTCTCAAAAATTGCCAGGTTTGCAATTGCCATGGAGAAGGGAGAAATCTTTTCAGCAATTGCCAGTTTCAAGATCTAAAGAGGAGTTATTCCCCCTCTTCACCATACGTGCTTCCATCTCAGCCACATTATCTCCTTCGCAAGAGCCCACAGCAAGCTCTCAAACCATTCTTTTGCAAGCATGCCTTAATCCATGACAACCACACAGTGGCTATTTTTCCTCAAGATTGATGGTTGCAGATCTGTCACATCTAGAGAGAAAAGTCTGCAGAGTGGTATGGACATGATAACTTCTCTCTTTCTATGAATTTAATGAGTTGGCTACTTACCCACGTGGATTCTTGTCCAGTTCATGAAGGACGGTGTGGTCACAATATTCAAAGACCAAGTGAAGCTTTCGTTTCCTCCGGAAGACCTCCAGAAGATTGACCAAATTGGGATGCTTCAGTTGCTAAAAAGCATAACATGGCATTTGTGAAGCAGGTCCATGTGAAGAAAATAGAGCTGTTGTATCAACATTCCACAACTTGGTATAATTCCAAAGTATTAAGCAATGTATTAAGCAAGAAGGTCCAAAGTAATTTTAGTTCCTTGCTCAGAATTTCATGCTTCCAATTCAACTCTCAGATGCCACTTTGCCTTATTGCCCACTGTGCCTCAAATTATCTCAAAAATACGAATGTGTTCTCCTTGATTCTCTGTTTCTTAAACATTCTCATTAATTTTATTTATTTAAGACTAATCTCCTTCCATAACCTTTTAGTTTAACTACTTAATTCTGCTTTTCAACCAAAACAAAGATAGAATACTTAATTGCCATTAATAGTCATCTACAATCTTCTTCCTTTTTGCCTCTCCCATACTTTTCTCATTCTCCCTTTCCTATCTTCTGTAAACTTCACAAGGCATGAACCTTCCTCCTAAGCTATCGTAAAAAGCAGGTGCCCTGACGGCTGATCATAAATACAGTCTTAAACTCATACTGATTATTATTACAAGCATTTTGACTGAATGCCTACATTTTAATTTTTTTGAAATGAAGCATGCAGAATAATCTGGATGACAAGATGAACCTCTGGAGATATTTGGACCATCCAGCTCCAGGGACTGTCCATCTTTAGCCCTGAATGGGATTGCACTCTCATTTGGGACTGGTGCACAATTTGGGGGACCTATGGACTTGTAGCTCCTGCTTGAGGAGCAGGTGGCAGCTATGGCTAGGAAGGCCTTTACACAGATTCATGTTGTGCTCCAATTATGTGTCAAGTCCACAAAATCCTGCTGGCTGCGCTGGAAGGCTGAGGGTCCCCATGGCTCACGCCCCCTGCGCACCATCCCGCCGTCCGATCGGGCGCTGCTGCTGCTCTCCAGCGCTGGCTGGCGTGGCTCGTCCATTGCAGGGAGGTGAAGTGCGTTGATCTTCTTGAAACATACATTGAGAGGATCAAGCAAGTGAACCCACTCATCAATGCTGTTGTTAAGGACAGGTTTGAGGCTGCCCTGCAGGAGGCCCAAGCCATTGATCAGCTGTCGTCTGAGGGACAGGAAGATGAAGAGTCACTTCATAAAAAATTCCCCTTGCTGGGTGTTCCTGTCACCATCAAATAAGCCTTTTCATTACACGGAATGCCCAATACCTCTGGACTAGTCAGCCCCCGCAAGGTGATCTCCGTGTCGGATGCTGTCGTGGTATCTTGGTTAAAGCAAGCAGGCGGTATTCCTCTGGGGGTGACCAACTGCAGCGAGCTGTGTATGAGGTTTGAGTTTTAGCAAAATGTCAAGTCCACAAAATCCAAACCCCAATTTAGAAGAATTCTCGTGAAACCAGGCCTGG